AACGCAGCTGCTTAAAGAAACAGACGCACTGGGCACGTCCCCCGATATGCCGAATTTGATGCTTTTTTCTTGAGCCTTTTTAGCTAAGCATATCATAACAATAGACATTTTTAATTTATGATTGTTTCCATGATTGAAATGGTTGTAGACATACTTGTTAGAATTGATGTGAAAATCGTCGATATTGTGCCCAAGAATTATTTCATCGTGCTAGTTTAATTATAAACATATTACTAATAAACAAATGTAATCTAGAATAGTCTTAATAGTTAATGGTTATGTCACGACTCACTACTTAGGGAAAGTCAAAGCACGCATATTATGATGCGCCATATACATAGATGCGCACATAAATATTGCAACCTGGGAAATTTCCACCGCTCCGCAACATTTCGTTATCTGATCCGTCGACGCATTGCTATATTTCTTCTCATTTAGGAGGTCATTGCATTCGTACGTTGCAGGTCGTGCTTGCCCGGGAGACGTCTAGTTAAAATTGTGTGGTTCATACGCCTTACCTAACTACATGGGTAACTGGGGCCTGCGTTTTTTTTCCAGAATTGACCGTTTAACTAGCGATCTGTGGGCCGCTGTGTTCAAATGCACAGACGCACAGCAGGCTCGTCAGTCGTTAATGGCTCATGTCTGCTAATATTCTCTGTTCTCAGAACTTTGCCGGCCGCTTTGTTGTTGCCGAATGGGTCATGAGTTTTAGCCGGCGTCTGGCGAGGTCCTGTTTTCCGAAACTTCGTAATGGAGTCTGGATAAACCTTGGCGATCTACGTACTCATCATGGTATAGGTACGACATATGTAGGCATGTTATTCATTGTGATAAATGATTGCACGAAGTAAAATGCAATTTTGCAAAAAAAAAAACGAAGATCATCCATAGTTGATTCCTTATGAAGATAGAATTATTTACTCCAAAGAAAGATAAACTAAATGTCCAGAGATTTTCGACGCTGCACAATGTATGATTCATTAAGATAATACCTATTCATTATTCAATACTCATAGAGACCCAGGGACGATCTGAATGTGTGATCTGAGTCAGCTTTGACGCTGTTCACTCTTCTATTCTTCTTGCCTACGGTGTTTCTCACGGTTATCTCTGTGGATGACCTGTGGACAGTCGACTGTGGAGCTAACCTCAGCTATGTATGTGGCCTGTGGCACTGTTGCGCATGCTGTCGGCGCTGCATCGCTGCTTTGCGGCCCGTTACCCGGCGTGTTGAAAAGGTGTAATCCACTCAGAGGTCGGTTTGCCTGAGGCCGTGGTCATCGTTAGCCCGACAAGAGGCCGCTCTGGGCTATGCCGGGTCCGGACTGTGTTGTCCGCTTAAGCCGCGTGAGACCGGCAGGCGAAATTTGGTGGATGTTCGCTATTCTTACCAATGCCATCGTATTGTATTGTATTGTATTGTATTGACACTTGAAAACTCATCCATCATAACATGGCTATTCTAGAGTTCGAGTCAGATGAAGGGACATGATGAACAATCATTCAAAAACTACACAGACGTACGAGTACACACACTTCCTAACACTTGTTGTCTAAAAGTGGCCCAGGTGCTTTTTTACATGTACCTTAAAAGCACCCGGTGTCTTTAGTTTAACGGCCGCTGGCAGCTCGTTAAAAGTAGACACAGCCCGGTAGCGAAATCGCCTCCTGCCGGACTCGGATCGTATGCGAGGGAGGGAGAGGTTCGCATCCTGCCGCGTGCTCCGCTCTCTCCTCTGCCCCACCGAGACCAGCCCTTCGGCAATGTCGAGAGGTTCGCCGGTCACCATAATACGCTTGAGAAGGCACAGAGTGTGGTACATTGCCAACTCGCGCGCTGGAAGCCAGGCTAGATCGGTGAGCGCATCACTTATGTGGTTGTGCTTACGCCGTCCCGTAATCACTCTTGCACCGAAATTGATCACCTTTTGCACTCTGGACATATTCGTAGCGGTTGCTGTGCCATACACACTGATACAATATCTAATTGTTGACAGCACCAGTGCGTTGATGATGGTAGACAGTGTCTCATTCGTTAGCCTATGCCTAGCGTGACTCAGGCCTATGAGGAGACCAGTACATCGGCCGACCAGCTGGTCAATATGTAGCTCATAGGAGAGCGTGCGGTCGATTGTCAGACCTAGGTTTTTAACCCGATCGATCTCGTGAATGGTGCATCCGTTCAAGGTGAGTGATATGGGTGGCATGTTGCGTAGCATCTGGCGTGAGCCAAGCGTGATAAGCTGTGTTTTGCCGGAATTTATCTTCATGGAGTTCTGCACGAACCATTGACTAAGGGTGTTGAGTGCAGTCTCCATGCGGCGAATGAGTGATGCCATCTCATTCTTTTTGCCAGTAACAAGTAGCTGGGTGTCATCAGCGTACTGTGTGATTGTCACATCGTTCTCAACGTACAAACTGATATCGTTCGAGACGATCGAGTACATCAGAGGCCCGAGCGATGTGCCCTGATACACGCCTATTGGGTTTCTGGCCGATTGGGAGGTCACCTGTCCGTGTTGCCGCGAGTCCATTCGAACATACTGAAAGTGATCCGAGAGATAACTTTCAAACCAATCGGTGTGCACCCCATAGAGTTTGAGTTTTTGCAGCAGTTTAACATGGCTCACAACATCAAAACACTTACTCAGATCAATTAAGACGAGCAGACTGACTTGACCTTCATCCATGGCCTGTAGGATGCGATCCGTGACCTGAACAAGTGCTGTTTCCGTGGAGTGGTTCTTGCGGAAACCATGTTGTGCCGGAGTGAAAAGGCTGTTGTTGGTAAAGTAGGAGTAAAGTTGGTCGTGTACGAGTCTGTCTGTTATCTTTGAGAGACAGGGTAGCAGTGAAATAGGCCGGAAACTGGTAGGGTCGGTGAGCCGACCGGCAGACTTGTAAATGGGTTGTATGACAGCTAGCTTCCATGGTGTGGGCACTACACTGGTAACGAAACTGGTGTTCACGAGACAAAGAATGACATGCGCCAAAGTATCAAAACAGGACTTCAACCACTGCATCGTGAGCCCGTCTGCGTCGCGGGTTCCGCTGCTGTTCATGCTCATTACGGTCGCGCGCAGTTCCCCCATCGTCACAGGTCTTACACGAAACTGAGCCGTCGAGACACGGGGAAGCCTGACCGGCAGCTCGCGAAAATCAGCGGGACGCGCGGCAGTTACAGATTGGGCCGTCTTCACACCGATCTCAGAGAAGTACGTGTTTAAAGTGTCTGGTGACACATCCGGTAGTTTTTGACCGACAGCCTTTCCACTAATAATACTCCGCACACATCTGAACATCGCCGATCGTCCCGCCTCGGAGATCCGGTGTCTGACGTCCTCCCTCGAGTCTCGCAATATCGCCGCTCGCGCACGCCGGTTCAGCTCGCGGTATGCAGTCTCGTCACCCTGACGTAGCGCGGCTCGCCGATCTGACATTATGCGCCGGGTCGCATCTGACACGGGAGGGGCGTCAGGGTTTCTGATCTTCATGCGGCGGAGGGGTGCGTGATCATCTAGCACTCCCAGTACACGCTGAACGAAATATGCATACTGGCGCGCAACATCATCAGTGTTGAACACAGGTGACCAATCTACCGCACACAGATCAGCATTCAGGGCGTCTCCGTCAATTTGTCGCCAGTTACGGTTCACTATGACCCTGGGGACGGAGCGAGACTTGTAGTTCCTGAGCACCGCGCGGGTGAACAAATGCGGACTGAAATCGCACTGCTTGACTCCTTGGAGTGTCACATCGGTGCAGGCGTTTGTGATAATAACGTCAATAATGGAGCCTGACCTCGGAAATGTGGCAGACGAGATATGCTGCTTCAGACCGTACTTTTCAATAATTCGGGTCAGTTGGGCACCATTGGTTCCTCCCTGGATGCAGCGCATGTCACAATTCATATCACCAGCCAGAATGACAGCTCCATCCATCACTTCCAAGTCCACGTCACGTTATGTTTTCCAGCGGCCGTCGCGTCATTCACCGAGCACTTTGACTCCCAACAGTGACACGTTTATTCCTAAAACTTTCTTTATGCTACCTGAGTGACTGTTCTGACGGAGCGAGTAGTTAGATTAGATGATGAAGAATAGTTCGCTGATCATTGCATGTATGAAACGTCCGCCCCTACCCCGGAGCGGTGCTCGTGCGTTCCATTCACCTGAGCTGCCGGCCTCTGACACACAGAGGCGGTGCGGTGCCAGGGAATGCAGCTACGGGCTCGCCGTCTGGGGGTTCGCGTCATGACGTCATCTGAGAGACAGATGTTTGGCCTCGTGCGAGGTGTTGCAAGGGTTGCGAGTGTTTACGGCGAAGAGCCCGAAATGCGTTCAATGTCGGTCATGGAAATTGTGGCGCATTATATTGGAAGGGTTTAGTTAACCTGATGCAATCGGGCTTTGGAAAGTTGGCAATCTGTCTGGAAATTGGGCAATAAAATAAATCACCCCATTTCAATTTTTAGAAAAATGGCAACGCAGATAGGTATTTCTCGAACAGACCTCGCCCAAAAAAATGGTCTTACGCAAGTACAGACGTAGTTAGTAGAAAGTTCGACATGAATCATGACTACGCATAATGCATAAGATTTAGGTAATCTGAGCTTTTTAGTTTTACGTTTCGTGGCTGCATGGATCAATGATCATCGATATTTTTTATCGCTTGCCTCTATCCCAACAGTTTTCTGAATAGACTCTCCGGCTCTCTCAAATGGATCATTTGACACCAACCCTCTCGAAGTGATCATCTGACACCACACAGACACTATCACACCCACCCTTTTATTTAGACTAGCTGGTCCTCTCGCTGCTCTCTGTGGATTGGTTTCTAATTTCTATACCCTTCTATGGACTCGCTTTTGGTCTTCTGTCCGAGTTCTACGGACTCGCTCTTGATCCCGCCTTCTGTCTATGACCGTAATGCCGGTATCTGCCCCCGCTCTGTGTCTATTCTCTCCGTTTGACGCCATCTCCCCCTGTCTGTTTCAGACGCGTGCTACCGGTGCCAGTCGGAGGCCTCGGGCAGCAAGCAGGACGACTGTGTGGTTATCTGGGGCGAGTGTAACCACTCGTTCCACAACTGCTGCATGTCACAGTGGCTCCAGAAAAACAACCGCTGCCCGCTCTGCCAGAGAGACTGGAGCTTCCAGCGGATCGGAAAGTGATCCGGTGATCACTTTTGTGATTTGTCGCCGGAGCGGAACTGCCTGCGGCCGGCATCAGTAGCGCAACTTGTTCTTCTTGTCGGTAGGTGGCAGCACTTATCGACGGGGTATCGACAAGGACCCATCAGATACCTAACGGGATTTTAACGTGATCTGATGTAAGCCCGACTAGCAGCGGTTCAAGGAAGGGCGACCGGTTGACTCGTGGTTATTTAATTGCCTACTGTTTGCGATGTCAACACTCCGCTGGAAATGATGTCATCGATATTCTCTGAGCTAAGTAGGGTGGGCGTCGCCCATCGGCGGGGCCCGTCGTGCGTGTCACTGTACCACGATCGCACGGCGTATTAGCGCTGTGGCCCATATCAGTTGGATTATGATGCGTCTATATTTTATGTGTTTCTGTTTGAAGATAATTTGCATCCGGTAAACTATATTTAGTTCTACACACTTTGCGCTATGCCGTTTTTTACTGAGCGATTTACGCTATTTTGGCTAGTTGCACGGTAAAACCATGGGTTGCCCACTACCTAGGGTTGTTTCATCCATGATCGAGCTGCACAAATGGCGCTCATTAGATGTTTCGAAAGGAACCAATCACTCTGTAAAATCTACGAACCTCTGATGGCTACCAATAAGTTTCGCGTCGATTTTCGCTTCTGTGGGTGGACATTCGTTAACATGAATTCCAGTTGGGTCGTGAGGATTGATCAGCATGCTTGGTTTTCGAGAAATGATGTATTTACGTGATGAATGTGAAAACCGATGTACTGTTGTTCAATGTCACTTGTTGCTTTTTCCTGTGGTATGTAGGAATGAATAAAAGGTCGGACTGTATTTACTGTATTGACTTTTATCCAAAACTGTAGGGCGTGTTATCGGAGCCCGTTTTTGTGATGGGTCTTTACTCTTTTGTGCACAGAGATTGTCTGAGAAGTATGTCACTGATCTATCTCAAAAGCTTTTTGGTGGATAATTTTATGTCGGAAAGTGTGTTCACAAGCGTCACAATAGCGTAGGCTATGCTACAGCTTCCAGGGTATAACGGACGCTCAGGCTGAGCCGGGTATACGCCCCTCTGCGATAGGCAGTGTGTGGTCGATGGCGGCCGCAGTGGGCGGGCCGGGTCTGTGAACGGGTCACGGAGACTCGGCACGGACAGCACGGGTAGGGAGGCTTCGCTGCCATGCCGGTTCAACTCAGGAGAGGGTGTGCTGTTTATGAGTCGCTGTGCAAATAAGGTGCTTTTTGTGTAAATAAATCTTTTGTGCAGGCAATTTGTGCGGCTTCATCTAATATGAAGCCGCACTACCAAACTCGGCCATGATCTCTGCATTCTGATTCCTAAACAAACTGCGCATCAGACACTCATGTTTACAGAAGCATCGTTTTCAACTAGCTCCTAAGCTCGAATCGCGTACACAGCCTCAACAAGGACTCCCTTTGTTCCAACACCGATGCAAGGACCCTCGTTCACCAGGACCCCCTACTGGCAGTATCGTTCCAGCGTAGCTGTATACTCCCTGGGGTCTGTGTCATGTTTCGCTGACTCCACCGGGCCCTGTATTACCCCCCCCCCCTAAGTGAGCCCTGAGAGGGCTGGGCGATCTTTCGGCGAAGCTCTGCGTCCGCTCAGCTGACCCGCGGCTCCGCTGAGTTCAGCTGTTTGTGAGACTCGGAGCAGTCGGTCAGAGGTCACTCATGTTTTCGTTTCGGCGGACTCGACAAGGTCTTGAATAGATCTTTGCACGGTGTAAGCGCTAGCCATGTATTTTGACGGCAGGCTAAGCATACACACGAAGATAGTTGATCCCTAATGACCAGCCATGCGTTTTGAATGCAGGCTGAGTATACTCAGCCTCGTTAGTATGCAGATATGCAGATTCCTACCGGCAGTCAACATTTCCTTCTCAATCCGTAATTTTCCTACCAAAGTCCAGTGATGTGTTGTCAGGCGAACCGCGACGGCCCCGCCTGGCACGGGCCTCCCTCTGCGCACCCTCACTCGGGAGCCGTCGGAGCCGACGCTGCGGTCGTCGGAGCCGACGTTTGCGTCCGTCGGTACCGGGCACGGCGACGGCCCTACTGCAGCGGCCGTTTCCGGCCGCCCACGGGCCGTCAGTCGCCACAGACGGGGCGGGGGCACGGAACTGGTCGGAGGTGTGGTACATACCAGACGCGGAAACAGCGGGACGAGGTGAGATGAGTTGGAGCTGGTAAAAAGGTGGTCTCGCAGACCTAAGCAGGGCTCTATCTTGGGAGAACGGCAGTGGAATAAGAAGTGGCCATGTGAAATTGAGCGTGTCTTCCTCGCAGCCTGACGAAGGAAGAGGATATTTTCTGTTTGTACAGCTTGTCATTAGCGGTCGACGGCCTGATCAGCCGGTTGACCCGCGTTGCAGCAGCTGCAGCTGGTCGGCTGAACGGTTGCACCGTTAGGACACGTCCGTCAGAGCGCCAGCATGCTGCGCCGGGAGCTGATTATGGTGGAGCCCTACCGGCAGCTCCGCTACCACGGACACCGCAGCAGGGTAAGTGATGTCTCCTCTGCTTGGGTAGTTGTGTCAGACTGTCAGCCTTCGTAGCATTGTTCACGACTCACGTCCGGTCGAGTTTTCTGCCATTGCTTCAGTTTTCTCCCTTCTATAGCAACAGCCAACTCCACTAACGGCCAAGCTACATAGAATATCCAAAGAGGGAACAAGTGCATATTCCTGTGGCTGAGCCTCGCTTTTTCATCAGCACACTGCTCGGGTGTTGGGCTGGAATGATAATTCAAGTTTCCTACTTGTGCAGAGCGGAGCGAGTAGCGGCCCGGCTCTCCGCCACTCCTCCTCCCTGTACCAAAAACCTCGACCCCTCCACAGGCCCCCTACTCCTCCCCCTCCTTTTCAGGTCGCCTCAGCGTCAGCGGTGGTGGACGCCGGCCCTCCGACTCGGCCCCGTCACGTGGTGGAGCCCGGTCGGCGGCAGGCGGCGCGGCGCCAGCTGCAGTGGCGACACCTGGACGCCGACATCCGACTGATGCGCGCCCTCGCTGAGATCATGGACTCGAAACGGCTCGACAACGACAATACCGACTTCGAGAAGTGAGGCGAAACGCGCGATTATAAAGGCAAACTCGTGGAGATCATAACTAGACAGATTCAGACAAATTTGATGTACGTGTGGCGACTGCAAAAAAAAACTCCACACGTAACAAGCGTATGTTGACATGTCTCTTCTCGGAAAATGAGTGCCCTTCACGTATTCTTCGAGTCATCGAGGCTTCTCACTAAGCTTCCACTCCCGTTCCTCTTGGGCAGGTATCGGCGCCTATTACAGGGGAGCCGCACACGCAGCGTGGATCGAAGCACACCTCTACCGCCGCCACCAGATCCGTACCCAGCCACGGACGACACAGGAAAACCGGTACGTTACCGGAAACACCGGCATGTGGCTGAATGGACGGCATTAGTAACAATGGCTCGAAGTCTACCGACATGGTGTCAGGTGCTGTAACATTGGACATATTGTTAGGCTAATAAATATCCGCTCATTTATGCTCACGTTCGCCGACTGAGCGGCACCAAGACAACGTGCCCCCCCAGTCCCATTATGGTGTCTGCTGAACTCAGTGAGGAACTCACGGTCAACTGCCATCACTCACGCCATGGATGAGAGATATATATGGATGAGAGATGAGGTAATCTCTCATCCATGCTCACACTGTGGCTGTGCGGAGTGCTGTTGTTAGTACAGATCCACCATTGTGTACTGTCACTTTCAAGTTACCAGCTCCACCCGCTCTGACCGGGCTGACCCTCCCCCCCCCCCCACAGCTCCGTCTGTGTCAGACGCTGGCTCCGCGGCCGCGGTCTCTCAGCTCACCGGCTCCCTCCCCGCTGGACCAGTGGCCGGATACGTGGCTGCTGGAGTACCGTCACCAGAAACAGCAGCTCCTCCAGCAGCGGGAGCAGCAGCGACGACAGCAGGCGAAACGGCGCAGACCGCGGCGGCGACACCGCAGCGCACAGCCCGGCACGGCTGGGAGGGAGGCACCCAGTTCCGAACGACAGCATTCGCGGCCTCGGCCAGTAACTTCAGTGCAATTAACGAAAACCAAACCTAGTTCGGAAGCGTGGGACGGAGACGAAACGGAAGGCGATGCCGAAGAGTCAGACGGAGACGCCGACGCCGAATCGGCCGCCTCTGGCGCCGACAATCGGTACTTGGGATTGCGTGGAGGCGAGGTCGGGTTCGGTGGGATCTTTGGGGGTCTACCCGACCCTGACGCGCGGGACCGTCTGCGCAAACACGGTATGGTACTGATGAAGGGAATGATCGGATGTCGCTGTGCCGCCAGACAGGCCACTTGATGCTGTGATCCAGCCAGTAGTACATTTTGTAGGCTTAAATCAGGGTATCTTGCACTGCACGCGTCTGCCGTGCACACGTCTTGCTCATTACAGTCTCACGTTCTGCAGCACTTTTTCACATAACTGATTATTATTCACCATAACACCAGTCCTGTAGCACTTGGTCGTCGCATCTGCCAAAGCCTGATCTGCACGAGCTCCTCATCTCAGTATTGTATTGACCTATACGAGGCTGGCTCGTGGGAACCGAACCCTACCCTTCCTCAGTGAGTACACGTGATTCTGACACCGGACGACACCCAATCATACCCACCAACACCCGTCCATCACGGCGGAACATCAGTCACCTTTAACGCACTCGACACACACACACACACGCGGGGAATAAACAGGGTGGTGCTCGCGGAAAATCATTGAATAATACACAATTGTCTCAATCGACCCGGCTTTGTTCAGCCTTCCGGCGGTAACACTCACCGGGAGCGGCATCGTTCGCACGTGCTGCCTACGGGCCGGGGCCCCGCGCGGGGTACCTTACGTCTCTCCAGCTCGGCGCCACACCCGGAGTCTCGGAATGGCGATCACATCAGCCGCCGACGGCCGGCTCGCGATGGCCGGGCGGCTCTGGCGCGCGCGCGCACGTGACTAGCGGAGCGATGGCGGCGGCGGCGGCGGCGGCAGAGGCAGAGGCAGGCGTGTGGGCGGTGGGGAGTCTCCGGGTCGTCAGTCATCCACCACAGCCGGGTAGTGGGCCGTCAGACAGCGGCCCCGGTGGGAGAGCACCATGAACGACGGACGGTGGCCGACCGTGTCCCACGTTCTGCCGGCAGACAGCAAGTGTCACACACTGCAAAACTGCCATGCAAAGGCAAAACCCATTATGTTTGGATGACCTTTAAACTGGTGGGGGCAGAGATGATGCAGATATGTTCCCTCCCAAAAATGCATTTTTTTGGCTTATACCTACTGTAACATCATATTTAAAAAATGAGCAAGATACAACTATCAACTGATTAGCTTTCAGTAAAACTATTAAAAAAAAAAGATGAAATAAGACAATCAGCCATGAGTCTGACACTGAATTGACTCCAAATTATGTGGACCAAAACCTGAGTTGAATGATAATGTATGGCTGATTAACCCGCGCCCGGCTGGGGGTCCTGGATTTCCACGCCCTGCTGGGGGGGTGTTTGAACACCCCCCCTTGTAACTCGGCTCCTGGGCCACGTAGCGATACGCGGAAGGCGGCGTTCGAAAGAGCGTCAAAAATAATGACGAAATCACTTCGGTCAATTTTTTGGTCAGGTCAAAGGTCAGGTCACCAGAGGTCATTGAAGGCAAAATTTCGCCGATTTCCAGGTCGAATGTCGAAAATTTCCAAGAAGCCAACGCATAACTCGGGAACCAATAGAGCTACAGCGCCGCGGAAAAGCGCATTCGATAGCCCTATTAACGCCCTTTCTGAGTGATTCTCTCAGATTTGACCTAACGCCAACGGTTTTGCCTGCAGGGGGCAAAAACTGCACAAATAGCCGATTTTTTCGGAAACAGTTTTTCTGCAATAACTTTTGACCCAAGCCCTGTACGAGCTTACTTTTACCGGCATCGTGTTCCTCTCGTCAAGACGCATCGAATGAACTATAACTTGACCTTGAAAGGTCAACTTGAAAATTTGACCTCAGGTCAAGGTCATGACCTGACCGGAAAGGGTCATGTTGCATATCAGTCGATCCGTATCGTCGAGCTGAACACATCTAAGGCGTTTTCATCGCTCTAGCATGCCTCTATCAAAAGTTATTTGCGAAAAACTGTTAGATACCATTCGTGACCTAAGATGACCTCAGGGCATAAACAAGGGTCACGGACACCATTTTCATGTTCAGTGTGTCTAAACCACTTGTAATTCGGTGTTTGGGAGTGTTTATAATGTCTTTCGACCAAAAGAGGCGCATTTCAATTTTCTCCCATTGACTTATAATGGGGAGGTCGCAAAATTGACCTGACCTTAGGTCATCGATATCAAAATTCTGAGATATACATTTTGTACATGCTATTGCTCTTAGCAATCGCTGAAAGTTTCAAAGCGATCGGTCACTCGGTGTAGCTATGACAGACATTGAAACTTTTTATGAGGTGAGGTCACTTCAAGTGACCTGGTGACCTGACCTTGAATGACCTTGGTCTGAAATTTTCACAACTTGTGTAGAATTGATGTATGATAAGGTGTACCAAAACGGCGGCGCTCCGCGCCGCCGTTTTTGAGATATTCGCGAAAAACCACAAGGGGGGGTGTTCAAACACCCCCCCCCCCCCAGCAGGGCGCGGGTTAAGAAAACATAAGACACAGTAAAATAATTTTGCCACAAAGCCATCCAGCACCAGCTAGCTAAACTTACTTCTCCTGGAGGTCGACATTGGCACGGATCTCCTTGAACTCTCCAGCTATGAAGAGTATTGCATACATGCTGAGTATGAGACTCAGAACTCCCTGGATGATGATGTCAATGGGCAGAGATGTGAACTCCTGCTCAGTCAGCCGCAGGTAGGACCGATCTGAAACCAATCAGTAGTCTTCTGGTGAGATCCTCACATGGTTATGCCACTTAATATTATTTTACACAATAAAAATATCAAAATCAAAACATAGAGCATTATCTTAAAGTAAGATTTGACAAAGGCAAAGGTGAATAATAATCTGGGCCTGCATTAAGTGCACATACCATACATGCAGCCCAAGGTCATTTGAAGTTATCAATTACCATGCTTTAAGCCTAAATTATTCCACTGATACCCTAATATAGCTTAAAACTAATCACTTTCAGCAATATGCATAAGATACAGACACTAAAAATGCATCCATCCACATAAGCAAAAATTTACCCATCCAAACAATGTTCATAGAAATGCAAACTTTGAGAGATACCATAGAAGCTGTAAGAAACAAGCAATAAAGAACAATGTTAAGGAGCTAGCCATCAATGTGGGAAGAAAATGCTAGAAGCCTAGAACCAGGACTTACGCTGGGTCGCGGAATATGCAGTGTGGAGAAGTGATAAGATACCACATGTTAACAAAATTTTGTAAAATAATGAGGCCATGTTCGTTAAAATAGTATCTGTCCTTTGAACTAGGAATAAACTAGATTCAATTGTCTAATATTTTCTTCAGTATCAAAACAATTATGACCGAAATAGCCTCTTGAATCGATCACGATAACCACGGACCGAATCTCTGCACTCGTGTAACAGCAGCAGCACTCGTAATTCCAAACAAATCGATCAGAATTGACCACAATATCATGAACTGCTACGCAGAACTATGTTAACAATGTAGCACGGCCCAACACAAATTTAAATAAATATTTTATCGCCACCTATCTATTTCCAAGCGGCCATCACTTGGCCATCACCATGCGCAATAAATGAATCTGGTGCGTTGCTTTTGCAATCAATGATCATCATTACTTTTTTGATGCTTGCTTTTTTGGATAAGAATTAGAGTCAAAGGTGAATATTCCTAATAAACTCATTAATGAAAATATCAATAAATTATTTATTTGTTGTTAATATTAATTCACTGTTTACATCGAACATATGTATGAGGGAAATTAAAGGATACTTTTATCAGGAACTATTAGAAAACTACCTGCGCTGGTTTCGTCGCAGGCGGTTCCGCAAGGGAGGTGTGTGTTGTGTTTACGTGTTGAAAAAGCTTTGGATTTATTGAGATGTTAGATGCTGTGGTTTTTATGTTGTACGATTTCTGTTTAAGTGGCTATCCTCAAGTGTTTTTAGTTTTTTAGCTTTCTCTTTCATGAATAAACGTATAAACTAAACAGTATTTCAAGGCAACCTTGCTTTAGGCGTTACAGCATCGTATGTCAATGAACTCAGGTTTTTCAGCATGCTTCTATCTCGATCTGTTTTTTTTTCTGAGTGCTGAGGCTGAATATTAATTCTGATGATTTGACAAATTATGATGCAAGATTCGTCATCCATTATGAAATATACATAGGTACATGTTTGCAAAATGAATGTAGTTAACTGGATGTTAGGGTGCGTGTGCACCTGAGCGGTGGTTTCGGTATTAGTAAGCCTGGCGTCCCAGGAAGATGCCAGATTGGGATGACAGAGATATATAGACCTAAACAAACCTGACTTGACCTAACCTTACCTACCACCTACAAACCTACAAATCTACAAACCTACAACCTACAATGGTATCTGGCATATTCCTGTTACGCCAGGCCTTAATTATACCGTGGTTTCTACTTTCTGTCGACTGTCATGGCTGTTGGTACCTACCACTGGTTCAGGTTAGTTTGAAGATGCTCCTACCCTTTGCCATTGTCAAAGAAGATTTGTTTTGTGCTTCTTCAGTATGATATTATGAAACAGGAACATTAGAGCTGCTTTTGCTTTCATTGTTAGATTATCATATTGATTAAAGAAAAATGCATGTTTTGGGTTAACTAATAATAAGATTTTACAGCTATGCAATTTGAGTAACCACTGCATAAGTTAATCTGCCTGAAAATTTTAAAAAATTGAAATAAGTAAAGATGGATCATACAATGGCAAGGGTAGAGCCTAGTTTATCTTACATTTTAGCTGTGTGATGAATTTTCAAAATTGTTTAACATGGTTTATTTCCATAGCTACTCTAATGCTGGTGCTTTGGGTATTAATATTTGCCTTAACCAACTAATTCTATTTTTCAGATTATCCAGCAAAAACTGAGCTAAGATCTTTATCACATTCTACCAGAATCCTGCTCTGCAGTTGGAGCACCAAATATATGTGAGTTTTTTTCTGAAAGGCTGATATTTCAATTTTATGTTGTGCTAGTTTATCATTTTTATTGGCTAAATTACACCAAAATTTATATTTAACCCTCGCCCGTAAACGGCGATCTGCCACCTTCGCCCATGCAGGGGGGGGGGTTGGTGCGACCCCCCCCTTGGCGTTTGAAAACGGAGCGTCGTAGAGCTTAGCGGAAAAGACCAACGGATTGCTCTCGCCGAGATCTCGCGATTGGTGGTATATTTTTTGGTCCTAGGTCAACATTTGACCTACTTTTGACCGGTCAAAGGTCAAATTTCCGGAAAAATAGACTTTTTTTCAACTTTCCGCGGCTATTGCGGCAAAACGGTGGGAGATATCGACTTGAAACCTTCACTATCGTGTTCCTTGATCAATTCTCTATCGTTTGGTATGTATTTCGTTTCCCTAGCTCTAAAAATGGCGCGTTGGGAGCGCCGGAAGTCGGAAAGGTCACAGTCGGCGGCAGAAATTCGAAAAATCAAAATTTAAATTTTTGAAATCTGATTGTATTTTTGGATTTGGAAGGTCCATTTGCTCCCTATAGAAGCTAATATTGCTGCATATTCCCATTGAGGTGACAAGAATTAGCAAAATAGTGGTTCGGGCGCTTTTCAAAAATAGTACCGGACGCTGTTCCTCTTGTGACGTCATAGCTCCGTGACCTGACCTGACCCGGTCAAGTTTCTTATACCATATGATAGCCAATACTTGCCCCAACATGCATGGGAAGTTTCATCACGATCCATCAACCGATGTCCGTACCACCGGCAGGAAACCTCGGACGTTGGCACCCAGTTTGTGAAAATCCGGCCGGAGGCTGTTCCCTTTGTGACGTCATAACTCCGTGACCTGACATGACCCGGTCAAATTTTTTTTATCAAAAGATGCGCAAGGTTTGCCCCATAAGGTACCCAAAATTTGGCGGCGCTGCGCGCCGCCGTTTTTGCACTATTTCCGAAAAACCTCAGGGGGGGGGTTGCACCAACCCCCCCCCTACATGGGCGAGGGTTAAGCAATGTAGGTGTAAAAATTGATGCAACAAAAATAATTTGTTTTGCATTATTTATTTGCTATGAGAAACAATGCATTGGCATACCATAAAGTGTATTGGTGTGATGTGAACAAGATAAGTGAATGAGGTATTCTGGCATAACATCACAGCTCTCAATCTGATACCAACAGACATAAACCTATGAGTGATCAAATACACATTCTGATCCATCTTTTTTAGGGATCAATATGGCTGACAAGCCAAAACTGAAGAACAACAGGGATGTTGCTTGTTTCTTCCTCACCAAACACTCATGGAAAGGAAAGTAAGTAACAATTTTTAAGCTGGTCTGCATTTCAGCATTGAAGATTCTTATGATGGCATAACAAATGAAATTAAATCTTTGCATCATAAGTGTGATTTCTGTAATATGGCTGTATGTGTAATATCTTGTATTTCCCATGCATTTACTTTTGTTTGCAAGAACATTGCAAGATGCAGAATTCGATTCTGTTTGCTCACACTTTTTGCCAAAGTTTAGATGGTAGTTAACAAGTTTGAGCAAAACCAAAGGAAGACTTTCTATTTGAAATGGTCCATTAGCTCCCCCTAGTGAGCACTGAGCTCTTCAGCAATTTGATAAAAAGGATTTCCAATGCCTATGATGTCTTGTGAGAGGTGATTTTGAAACCATTAAAATTTTTACTCTTGCATTTGAATATCAATGTCAATATTCTTATTTTATTTTACCCGCCCTCTTCCCACCTCCGCGCGTATCGCCTACGCCCGCCTACGCCAGCTCCGACCCGACCTTCATTCGCGCCGTGTGCTTCGCCAGGTTCCGTCGCATTTTCTCCATCGGCACCATGGGCGTATCCACGTACAACCCGAGCTCGATGGAGGCCACCAACCAGTGGCTCTACGAGGACTTCCTGGGAATCGTGCCGGCGGCGCGCGGCGGCTCCCCACACGAGTTTACCATCCTCGTGCGCAAGGGCAAAAAGAGCGAGACGATGCGGTTTTCGAGCGAGCACCGCGCTGAGCTGATCACCGAGGCGCTGCGGTACCGGGCCGGCTTCGGCGAGCCCCAGGAGGAGACCTTCGTGAGTAGCGGAGCGGTGGGGTAGGGCGAGAGGACGGGAGCTGAGGGTGTTGAAAGGGCGCTCCGTGCTAGAGGGTGGTGCAGCATTTTAGGTGGTTGGGAAATTGGACCGTTTTACTTTTCTTATTGATTGCCCGCGCTAGTTACTCCTTACCCTTGATAAAGTTCCTGTCAGTCAGTCTATGATTGTAGTTGTGTAGACGTGTAAGTAACTGTTTCTTATATCGTACATATGTCTCCTACGAGTATACTCGTCTCAGAGATCTGAACCGCTCCCTGCGCGTCTCCGGCAGCGCTGTAACGGCTTCAAGCACCACTGGTCCGAGCAGCGTGTGCCGGTGGTGCTGGAGGCCGGTCCGTGCTCGCTGGACCAGCGGCACCCGGCCACCGGCGCCCTGGTCGCCTCCTACGCCTACAAGGACGTGGAGGCCGTGGTGCCCGTCTCCGACTACCCCGGAGGGTTCATTGTCATCTGCGGACGATTCGGCAGGATGGTGAGTCGGGATATGGTGGGTGAAGTGGGATTGTGGACTATGAGGGCTTTGGTGTCATAAATTAGTGTTACATTGGGGCCTGCGGTACTCCGTTTAGGTTGGAAGCTGGTGTACTGTAGTTAGTGCATGAGGGAAGCTGAGATTGTTGCTAATAATGGTGCGGGGAATGGCTCTGTTCGTTAAATTTGTATTATCGTCATTGCGTACAATCACCATGACACTACATTCCAAACAACGCTACCACGATCATTGATCGTCCGTACCATAACAACCCGGTCATGGATTTTGGTGGCACATGTGCATTGTGCTGAAACTTGGCTCGTATTATTGAGACGAGGGTGTGCTGCCCAATGACGCCTAACGTGCACTCATTGCGTTGTCGCTAATATAAATATTTGGCGCTGAATGAGCGGCCAACAAAACTGAGCTCCAAAGGGCGCTTCAACAGACCATGTGCTAACCCAAAGTACTCCGATGGACTAAACTTCCTCGTTCTTTGTTAGTGGAGTTCGGCGTCGTGCTGAGTTTGTCTTCCTTTATGCATAAAGTCAACGCCGTTGACGTGTTCTTGTCATGATCGATCAGTGTATGGTTATTAACCCGCGCCCTGGTGGGGTCTGTTTATAACGCGACCTGGTGGGGGGGGGGGGGCTATTTTTTGCCCCCCCTCGTATCTCCGAAACTACTGGACGGATCCGCAAAATTCAAACGGCGTTCGAAAGGCCTGTCAAATTTGTCGAAGGGAACCAAATTTCATTGACCTCGGGGTCACCGATGACGTCACAGGTCAGGTCAAAGATGAAATGTTTCACCGTTCACGGGTCTTCTAGGAAATGCGCTATAACACCGAGGAAAACGTATTTTGTCGAGAATCAGCGGTAGGGCGTCAGTTGCCTAGTAGATATGTTGCTATTAGAGGTCACTGGCAATACCAGGTCAGGTCACGGGTCAGGTCACCAAGGGTCACAGGTCAGGTCACATGAGCCCAACTTT